GAAGCCAACAATGGCATGGAAGAGCTGAATAAGCCTCTACCATGATCTTCATTCAAAGACTTATGCTCAAATCATTACAAATGGAAATACCTCCCGATCGATGATTCCATGGCTCTTTGGCTCGCTCTTACGGACTATCTAATCATGAAAGACATTGCCTGAAGCACACCATGATTATGTCCATGAATGAGTACAATTCTGAAGTTTATAAATCTGATCGAATTTTGACTGGAGAATACTTTTCTCGTCATTCATTGTTTCTAACTTGCCCCTGAAGTACTAGTGTAGATAGCAGAAGTTTACCAAATTCTCTGATCTGATTACTACCACAAATGTGAGAGAAAGGTATAGACCCAGTTCAGTTGGAGTATACTAAATAACTCGACCCAGTTCGGTCAAAACCTACCGAATGGTGATGCACTACTTCGACAAGGATACACAGAATGACATATTCTCTCACAATCCAATTTTGAGTTTGTTTTTACAACATATGGTAGAATTAGGGCCTGACAAGGTGTGGCATCATACCTGAAGTGTGATCCTTGGTACCTAAGACCTAAAACTTCAAGAATAAGGGATAGTATTCCCAAACCTTAACCGTGCAGAATCTACTTCCGTTTTGATGGAATAGATCATTGGTTATGCACGTGTTCGTGCCCCCTACCAATGTTGTTAAGGAGTACCATTCTAGTAGTCAATATGTGAGATTGATTTTGCTCCACCGAACATCTTTGGAAGAGTAGAATTTTGACATGGATGCCTTGATGGCTGAATCCCCTTAGTAAACCATTTACTTTGTGAACATTTTTCTATGTTCTTGGATTCAAGTTTGATGTATGTTTTACTTATGGACAATCTTATTGATATTATCCTCGAATATGAGTTAATTGAATCATGTTTCTTAATACATGTGACTGGTTCAATTAAACATGTGATTAGGTAGGAATGTGAGAAAGTTAGTTGTCTGGATGAATGCGTACTACACACACTAACTTTACACCTAAATCACATCTCTAACAATGACTTCAGGTCTATCCAACCTGATTAAGAGCATTGGCACGTTCCTCGTTGTATGAATGGTACTGAATCACCATTTAAGGGACCTTAAATTCTCCCTGACATTGAGTTTTTAAGGATATTCGAGATGACAATGATCATAAATGAAACTAGGGATGGGTCGGTATGGGATACCGAACCAAAATGCAAGTCCTGATTCCCAAACCGAAGTTTTCAGGAATCCTAAATTCAATACCAATCCCAAACCAAATTTTCAGGAATCCCGAATTAGTTTCGGGATTTCGGGACAATTGGGAATCCCAAAATAGTTTTGGGCTTTTGGGCTATTGGACTAAAAATTCAAGAGAGAAATACTGCTTAAAGAAAGAAACATGTACAAATACATAAGCAAAATGGGAACCTGAAATTTAGCAACAGGTATCCGTAGCAAGCTCAGTAGCTTCTTTGTACTTCGTTTGGGCAAAAAGTTCTTGAAAATGATGGACACCTGTAAAAATCATGTAGGAACATCAAAAATTAAAGTAGAGAAGACCAAAGAGATTCAATATCATATAATCAACAAGGCCAAAGAAGTTACAGTCAATTCGATTATGGCAACTGATTTAAAATGTTGATCATTCTTCATTTGAAAAGGCATGAATCATGATACAATGATCATTGATCAACATAACACTAGAGCTCCTATGTTGCTCCAGCTTATCTTGTAATTTTTATATTCTTCAACATATATTGCAGGCTGTTCTAATATTTAATGTCACATTCATAATATAGTGGGATAAAATCATAAAATGGTAACCTTCATCCAAAAACATTCAACATAATAATCACTATCTCATTAATAAGTACACAGGTTGCAATAGTTTTTCGCAACTATTCTTACGGAAAAAAAAAAGGAAACAAGCTTTTCGTAGATAATTGTTAGCATAAAAACATAACAAGGAGCGCAACCATGGTCAATGCCTAACACTAGCTACATTCATATGCATCAAATCAGATTCAAAATGAAGAGAGAGAGAAAGAGAGAGAGAGAGAGAGAGAGAGAGAGACCGAGCATAACAGATATAAGAAAAGGTCATCACGTTTCGTTGTCAACAATAATGTAGGTAAATGCTGAGTTCAAAAAAATGATAGCAATATTCAGATTGCACAGCAGTCAAGTCCTATTTGTTCAACTTCATTAGCATACAAATGAAAATTAACACATTGACTGTATTGCCACATACCTCTAGTTCTTGCTTGCGTGCATCCTCCATTCTCGCTTCTGACCAAATGCAAACTGTAAATACATTTGTGGTGCTGCATTACAAACATCCCAAAATTCCACGGTTAATTCTGAACTCCATTCATCAATTTACACCAACTCTCGAAATTCATTTCAGTAGCTACAATTATTGCTACAACTATTAACTATCAACTATCAACCCGTAACAAATTTATGCTTCAATCGTGAGTATGTGATAGAAGAGAAACCCTAATCTTGAATTCCAACACCAATTCAACCCCTAAACCCTCAGTATGCAGTATACTTTATCTTCAAGTGCTAAATTTTACAAACTCTAATCTTGAATTCCAACCCTAAATTAGCTTGTGAACTTTACCTGATTTGGGGGAGAATTGCACAATGCACTGGATGATTGGAATCGAGAGAGACTGAGAAGGAAAGTGGCACCGGTGGCCGTGATTCATGAAGGAAGGCTCTTCCACTGTGACTTTGTGTGGGATGAGAAGTCGAGAGAGACTGAGAGAGAGATCAGAAAGGTGATAGTCAAGAGAGATGTGACTCAGGTGAGTCACTTGTGTGGCCAGATTCGAAAATGAAGAGACAAATCGGCAACGAGGGTGGTGAGGTAAGGGTTTGAGTCTGAGGCGAGCCGCGAGAGAGAGTGAGTGAACTGAGAGTCGAGAGAGATGGGAGAGACAAAGTGTAAGTGTAGGTTTAATTTCTATTCCACGGTTGAGATTAAATCTCAACCAAATCCGACGGCTGTTACAATTTCAAATATATATTTAAAAATTAAATAATTTTTTTTTATTTCGGTTCAGTATGGGAATACTGAAAAAATGAAAACTTGAAACCGATTCCCATACTGAAAATTTCGGTTTGGTTCGGTCTTGGGTACTGAACGTTTCGGGATTTTCGATTTGGTATTTTTTCGGTTTGGTTTCGGGAATTTTTCGGTTTGGTTTGGGAAATTCGGTATTATTTTCCACCTCTAAATGAAACCACTAAAGAAAATAGAGTGAAATATCTTTGCACCACCTCCAAAAATGAGTCTGCAACTTTGATTTGGGGCCAATGGGTTGTTTCCCAACTGGGAACATGCCACATGTGGCCGGCCTAGAGCTGGGTGATTGAGCAGTTTACTTGTTTTGGCATGACCATTTAGGACACTTAAGGTCGAACAATGATGCTACGACGCATATCCTTACCCGAAGTGTATTTAGACATGAATCTCACTAAGACTATGGAAGAGCTTGAGAAAACTTCCTCGCACTTGAAGATGGAATTTGAGATGAAGGATCGTGGGAAAACTCGTTTATGCCTTGACCTGAAGTTGAAGCATTGTTCTAACGGTATTTTGGTCTACCAGTCGAACTACACCCTGAATGTGTCACCTTTGAGTATACCTTTGATCGTCCATATGTTATATGCAAATGAGACCCTTGAAGAGGTTATAGAATCCGAAATTCCATATATGAGTTCAACTTTGGGTTTCGTTGTACTTAGCTCATTGTATTTAGACAGGACATCACCTTTGCTGTTGATCTTGGTAAAGATGCAGCACCATGCCCACACGCAACCATTGAATTGGTATTAAAAATGTACCTTGAAGGTACTACGAGGGCAAATCCCAACACATCTCGAGTGGATCCAACCCCCCTGATCCTCAGAATGATGCGTGCCTTGTTTGTTATACTGACGCAGGTTACTTATTAAACCCGCACAAGGCAAAATCCCCAAATGGTTATGTCTTTACTGTTAGGGATATCGCAATATCTTAGAGGTTTACGATATGACCTTAGTTGCGAAATCTTCGAATCGTTCCAAGACTCACCTCACTTCACTACGCCACAAGTGAGACATGGTTATGAGTTCTTATTGAGTATATTCGAAGTACTTGTTGTGTTTTCATCTATCGTTGAGTCCCGACAACGATCCTTGAAGATTATGCCGCATGTATCCACCCGACCAAGTCATGATACATCAACAAAGTCAACACCAAGACATATTGCGTCTATATCAGCAAAGCATCAGGAGATTGAAGTCATGCAAACCAATCCCAGACAACCTTGCTGACCTCTACACGACGTCACTACCAAAGTTAACCTTCCAGAAGCTTGTCCGAGGAATTGGTATGCCTAACTATTCATATGCAAATGCTTGTAGTTCTCATTTGGAAGTTATGTCAAACTCAGGGGGAGTATTCAGAAGTATACTCTCTTGATCTTAATGTACTCTTTTTCCTTATGATTAGGAGCATTTTTCCCACTGGATTTTTGCTACCGAACTAGGTTTTAACGAGGCACCCATCCTAGGCTGATCATACCCTTGTGAGCGATTCTACTTGCGTCCAAAAGACGTATAGTTTTGACCTAATGCAACTTCTTACTTTTCACCTTAGTCTATGGGCTTTCTCCCACCTTGGGTTTTATCATAACGAGGTTTTGTGAGTTTTACTTTTTATGCATTTTTCCGTTGATTTGAGACTCGTATTTGCTCATTGTGTCGACAACTTCATCAATTGTACTTTCTTCATCATTGAAGACTTGATAGGGCTGGGTTCGGTTCTTATCGGTTCGGTTTTTTGCCAAAACCGAAACCAAACCGAATTTTCGGTTCGGTTCGGTTCGGCCCAATTTTTTTTCGGTTTTTTTCGGTTCGGTTTTTTTTTCGGTTCGGTTTTTCCGGTTCGGTTTCGGTTTTTTTTTCGGTTTTTTTTTTTTTTGTCCCTCCAAAAAATGCAAAACAACCACAATAGAAATAGAAAATATGACATGTTTCCATCTCTCCAGGACGGTTTTTCAATATTCATGAGGTAAGATACATCATTGACTAAGAAGCAAAATGCCACTGCTTCGCAACCAGAGTCTGCAATCAAACAATATGAAACATCAAAATCAATGCCAATTGATAAAAACAAATTAAAAATTAATTATTGAAGTTAATTGAACAAATTAAACTTACCGATTCTCTAATCGCTTTCGATACACGGAAAAGCCGCTTCAAATCATCGTGATCGACTCCACACACAACCTTAATCTGCAATGCACAGAAATAGAAATGTGATTAGAAACGAATTAAATCGAAACCAATTTTATATTTGATTGTTCAATCGCAAAAAATTGAGAATTTGGGGCTAACCAGAATCTCCTGAGGCAGAGCTTCTAGGGCGGAGGAGGCGGCAGTTTCGATTCCCAAATCATCTTCCCACTCCGCTGCTTCTTCAATGGAGTATTGGGATACAAATCAGCCGGCGATGCCTCCTCGCCATTGTTAGAAATCCCAATCCTCTTCCTCCCCAAAGCTCGCGTGTACTTCACAAACCCTAACTCCATCATCGGCTCCGCCTCCGCCGCAACAGCACCGCCGCTGCCACGCTTCGCTTTCAAGCAACTCTTGCACTTCTTTCCCAACGCCATCTTCTCCAATCAATAAACAATCTCAAAATCCCTAAACCCAAAAACAAAAATGGAATCAGATTACAAGCAACACTGAAAAAACACAATCGACAGACACTCCCCAACATACCCAAAACAAATTGCGGTGCATAACCAAAATTTCTCACAAATTAATCAAATCTCAACCAATAGTCTAATAGTGTTCAGAAACGAAATTACCCACAACCTTTGCTGCAGCGATATCGCAGTGATCGTCGCAAGCTCTTACAATTCCTCTTTTCGTCGGGTCTCAAAAAGGGGCGAGGGAAAATCATTGTTTGGAAGAAAGAATCCACGAGGAGGACAAGAGAAGACTAGAGAGAGTGATTTGGAGGAAGAGAGGAAGGAGAGGGAGAGAGATAGACTGAGGAAGCAGAGAGGAAGCCGCGGCGGGGAGAGAGAGACTTTGAGATCTGAAAATGAAATGGGAATGGGGCACTGAGACGGCTAGGGTTTTAAGCTTAAGAAATTTTATAAAGCATTCAATGTAATAAACCTATAAATAATATACTGGTACAATTATAACAATAGAAAGCCTACAGTCAAGTTGGCTGACAGCACCTAAAACCAACCTACAGGTCAGGGGTTCGAACCCTGATGCTAACATATTTTTTGGTATTTATATATATATATTTTTTTTCGGTTCGGTTCGGTCCGGTTCGGTTTCTGGACCTCAAAAACCGAAACCGAACCAGCCAGATTCGGTTCGGTTCGGTTTGGCAGTTTCGGTTCGGTTTTTTTTCGGTTCGGTTTTTTTCGGCCTCGGTTCGGTTTGGTTTTCGGTTTTTTTCGGTTTTCGGTTATTTGAACCCACCCCTAAGACTTGATGCACCATTTACTTGAGTATTTACACATTCAAGGGGGAGTGTTGCAGTCTTATTAGATTAGGAATGTGATTGTGTAAATCATAGTATATCTTGGAATATCTCTTATATTCCTATTAGGTAGACTTGGCATTCGTGTCGTGTTTTCCGTGTTCGTGTCGTTTTCGTGTCATACCCGATATCTTAACGGGTCGTGTCGTGTAACACCCGTTAAAATAAACGGGTAAAATGACCGGACCCGAAATCGACCCGATAATATTAACAGGTAATATGACCCGACCCGTTACCCGTTAAGGAAAATATATTTTAAACCAATAAATAATCAAATGAAAAACATAATACTAAATAAGTATATACATTCCATATTATCACATCCAAAACATAAAAACGCAATTTTGTTTTAAGTATATTTTCGCTTACGTAAAGTCTTTAATAGTTTTTTAATTAATGTAGAAGTGTAAAAAAATATAGAAAAAATATATAAACACTCGTAATGATAAGCTTTTTTTAACGATCCAACCGTCAAACTTATTTGTACACATTCCAAGATTGCATACGTAAAAAATTGCAAAAAAACAAACATTCAGAGATTACGTAACGGAACAAAAGTTATCGACGGTTATAAACAAAAAATCACAATTTAACGGTTATTTTTGCTCTGATTTTGATGATTTTTTTACAGATACACTCCTCGACCCTATAAGAATGTAATGAATAAATTTGATCTTTAATTTAAAGTATTTACACTAGTGGATACCACAAATCTTTTTTTATACTTAATAGAAGTATAATATTAACTTTAAGTGTTTGTTTAATCTACTATTTTGACACAATATGCATTCTACGAAACTTTTTTTAACGATCTAACCGTCAAACTTATTTATACACATTCCAAGATTGCATACGTAAAAAATCGTAAAAAACAAACATTCAGAGATTACGTTACGGAACCAAAGTTATCAACGGTTATAAACGAAAAATCACAATTTAACGGTTATTTTAGCTCCGATTTTGATGATTTTTTACAAATACACTCCTCGACCCTATAAGAATGTAATAAATAAATTTGATCTTTAATTAAAGTATTTACACTAGTGGATACCACCAAAACTTATTTTATACTTAATAGAAGTATAATATTAACTCTAAGTGTTTGTTTAATCTACCGTTTTGATGCAATATGCATTCTACGAAACTTTTTTCAACGATCCAACCGTCAAACTTATTTGTACACATCCCGAGATTGCAAACTTAAAAAATCGTAAAAAACAAACATTCAGAGATTACGTAACGGAACAAAAGTTTTCGACGGTTATAAACGAAAAATCACAATTTAACGGTTATTTTAGCTCCGATTTTGATGATTTTGTACATATACACTCCTCGACCCTATAAGAATGTAATGAATAAATTTGATCTTTAATTTAAAGTATTTACATTTTTTATATATGAGTGATTGTATATATATATTTTTACATTTTTTACACTTCTACAATAATTATTATTAATTTTATTAATTTTTCCCTCAAATAAAAAACATTATTCATGAGGGTTTGAAGGATTTTAAGAATCTAAACGATAATATAAGTGTAACAATTATCTATTCGTGGAGGAATAATGATAAATCACGAGTGTTTATATATTCTTTCACATTTTTCATACTTGTATGTATGTATTCTTAGTTCTTGCATATACAAATACTATACTAGTATATTTTAATTTTGGACAAGAATATGTCATGTAAAATTTATCCTAGTAATGATAATAAGGAACTCTCATAATAAAAATAAATAATGACTAAAACTTTTCTTTATTTTTTTATAATTTATATAGAACAATAATACAAAACTATATATTTAATATATAATATATTGTATATATTAATATGACTATTGTATTTTATAATAAATCTTTTAGTAATTAAACTTTAAAATTATTAAAATAATTTTTTTCTTAACGGGTCGAAACGGGTTACCCACGTGTTACCCGCGTGTATACCTGTTAAGAACCCGTTATTAACGGGTTCTTAACGGGTCACCCGATAGTGACCCGATAAGTTATCGTGTTGATCCGAAACCCGTTATTTTCGTGTCGTTTTCGTGTCGTGTCACCGTGTCGTGTCAAAAACTGCCAAGTCTGCTATTAGGAGTAGATTACCTATTAAATGATTTATTCCTAAGGGTAAAGGTTTTTACCTATCCTACTACTATAAATAAAGGCACAATGGGGTGGAATAGAATACACCCCACAATTACACATCTCTCTCTTTCTCTCTATGTATGCCGCACCCCTCTCTCTCTGACCTCCATAATTGTTCAGTAAATTATGCCTACAACATGCCGTTAATAAAAGAAATTTCAGTTTTTTGTCAAAAACAACTGGATTTTGTTGTTAATTGGTTTTGATTTCAATTGGGCTGCTTCTTTCATTACATTTACACTCAAAATAATTTGTTTTTTTTTTTAAATTTAGCCAGCAAGGTGTCGTGGTGTAGTTGGTTATCATGTAAGTTTAACACGCTTGTTTGGTAAGCTATTTGAGATTCTTAGAAATATGATTGGATTGATAGAGACTTGTAAGATATGACTTGTAATCATGTAAAAAGATAGATTAGATAACCCACTCTATTGTGGACTCATAACTCATCATGTTCAGTGATGTCCATGTTTAAACATGACTTACATACAAGTCATGTTTATCTCACATTTCATACAATAAATAACGAACTGAACTTATATCTATTTTAATTGATAATAATATATCTCATCCAGTCCACTGAACAGGGTCTGAATGTCTTGGGTTCGAACCCGATCAACACCATTGTTATGTTCCGTAATATACCGGAAACGACGTGGTTTTGTGTAATCTATTTTAAACGTTGCCGTTTATTTCCCCTAAACGGTGTTACGAACCTCAATCCAAGCATAGAAACCCCGCGAAACACGCGGCGTGCTAACTCAAAGTTGCCTGATCCACGTCATGGTGAGAAGCCTCCACAAACCTCAGCCAATCACGCGAGCCGTTGGCATAACTTCCTCCCTTCCCATTGGTCCGTTTCCTCCACGTCATCACCCTCTAGATTCTTCACCACTCAAATTTTCCCAAGAAAATTAAGAAAAATGAATTTTCTCGAGTAAAAACGCCCCCACTTTCCCATACATAAAAGATTAAACCCCGAATCCAAAATCTAAATCAAACCCACCACCGATTTCATTCCCAAAATCGGAACTGTCCAATTCCCAGTTCGTCCAAAAATTCAAAATCCAAAAACAATGTCTCCCAAAACGCTGCTTTTGATCCTCCTGACGGTGCAATTCCTCCCGTCCTCTCTCTCTCTGATTTCCGCGCCGGAGCTCCGCCCTCCCTACGCCACCCCCAGAGCCATCTCCGTACGCCCATCTCTTTTTCTCTCTCTCTACAATTTGAATTTTTGGATTCGGATTGATTGATTGATTGATTGGTTGTTTGATTGAGATTTGGTTGGTTGATTTGCAGGATTTGAAGGAGGCGATTGTTAAGGGATTAGGGTTTCAAGCGGAGGATCTCAAGGTGTCGGGGTTCGATTTGAGGGACGCGCAGGTGGGGCATTCGGTGGCGTACGAGTTCGACGTGGAGGTGGACAACAAGGTCCTGCCTTTCAAGCTTCTGGAGGACGTCGACCGCTGGGACTACGTCGACTTGCCTATTTTTAGGGTCGAGGACGAAAATGGGTTGGTCCAGAAAGGCAAATTGGGTGGTGGGTTGCCTCCGGTTTTGGCTCCGTTTCAGCTGGCTGGGCCCATGGAGCTCTGGATTCAGGACGCCAAAGATATGAGGATTTCGCTTCCTGTAAGTATAAGCTATTAGATTTCGGATATTTAGCTCGAAGTCTTTTAATTTTTAATGCACGAACGATATTTTACTTTAAACTAATATGGAATCTGCGGATTTGATGAATCATTTAAAATTTTAACTTGGTCCTAATTTGAAAAGTAAGATTTACGGAATTATAATCACGGAAGCAAAATTGCAATTTGACCTGTTGTTTATGATTAAAATTTGGAGTTTTGGGAACTGATTTGTTGAATGTTATGCAGCATGATGTGGATGCTGGTGTGTTGAAGAAGGTGATATTGGCAGAAGGGGCTGTGGTCACAGTGAAGGGTGCCAGGTCTGTGAGTCTTCGCCACCCTCTTCAGCTCCCATTGCCATTGAACCGAACCAACAATGGGTTTGCTTCTGGTCTTGTGACCTTGGCTGAATGGCTGCGCCGTGCTTCTCGAACCCAATCATCTCCACTGCTGTCTCTCCGCATTGTTGGTCCGACTTCCCTCGCATCACCTTCCTCGACCTCTCCCTCCGTGAACAACAAGCTCAAACTAAAGCGCCTTGCCCCAGGCCTTGTGGAGTTGTCCTCACGATCCAACACCAAGCCCGTTTCTGTTGAGCTGCAAAACCAAGAGACCACCGCCATTTTAACCCCTAGCTACTTCAGCACGGTCTGGCCCCTTGCTTCCATCAATGGCTCGAACCCTAACTTGGTAGGTTTTGAGTCACTGCTTGCGTCTGTGCTGGGTCCTAAGGCCAATGAGAAAGGATCCTTCAAGTTATTGAAGGCAGATGTGTCTGCAC